CAAACCCCCAAAAAAAACCCCGCAACGGGGGGGGTCTGAGTCGGCTCTTGTCACCCCCTAAAATGCTAACCCAAAAAGGGATGGTCCCCTCTGAAACTCGCCCCAAAATGGCACCCGGGACCCCCAAAATGGCACCTGGGACCCCAAAACTGTCCCCAGATTGGAGCCTGGGACCCCAAAATGGCACCTGGGACAACAAAATGGCACCCAGGACCCCAAAATGGCACCTGGGATCCTAAAACTGACCCCAGATTGGAGTCTGGGACCCCAAAACGGTGCCCAGGACCCCAAAACTGACCCCGGATTGGAGCCTGGGACCCCAGATTGGAGTCTGGGACCCCAAAATGGCACCCAGGACCCCAAAATGGCACGTGGGACCCCAAAACTGACCCTGGATTGGAGCTTGGGACCCCAAAACGGTGCCTGGGACCCTAAAACTGACCCCGGATTGGAGCTTGGGACCCCCAAATGGCGCCTGGGACCCCAAAATGGCACCCGGGACCCCAAAACTGTCCCCAGATTGGAGCCTGGGACCCCAAAACAGCGCCTGGGACCCCAAAACTGACCCCAAAATGGCACCCAAGATGCTCAATTCCATGGCGATGTGGGGCTGGAGGCCCATGGAGATGTGGGGCTGGAGCTCCATGGTGGATGCTCAGCTCCATGGGGACGTGGTGGATGGGGCTGGAGCTCCACGGGGACATGTGGGTCCATGAGGTGCAGATGTCCACGGGGACATGGATGCTCAGTTCCATGAGGACGTGGGGCTGGAGGTTGGTCCATGGAGATGTAGGGCTGGAGCTCCATGGTGGATGTTCAGCTCCATGGGGATGTGGTGGATGGGGCTGGAGCTCCATGTGGATGTGGGGCTGGATGTTCATGGAGATGTAGGGCTGGAGGTCCATGGTGGATGCTCAATTCCACGGCGATGTGGGGCTGGAGGTCCATGGGGACATGAGGCTGGATGTCCATGGAGATGTAGGGCTGGAGCTCCATGGTGGATGCTCAGCTCCATGAGGACCTGGTGGATGGGACCAGAGCTCCATGGGGACGTGGGGCTGGATGTTCATGGAGATGTAGGGCTGGAGCTCCATGGTGGATGCTCAGCTCCATGGGGACGTTGTGGATGGGACCAGAGCTCCATGTGGACGTGGGGCTGGATCTCCATGTGGTCACCCCCCACCAGGACCCCCCCCACCACCA